TTTCACTGTGTTAGCCAGGATGGTCTTGATCTCCTGACCTCGTGATCCACCCATCCCGGCCTCCCAAAGTGCTGGGATTACAGGCGTGAGCCATCGCACCCGGCCGAATCAGGGTTTGACATCTCCTGTATTTAAGCCTTCATCCCATTCCCTATGGAAAAGCATTTCCCCAGTATGGAATCATCAAGGAAACGTTTTCTGTGTATAGGTCAATCTGAGGTATGGGCTTCACCTCAGGGCCTGACAGAATCTCAGCATTCTCAGACTTACCTCTCCTCAAGTCCTTTGAAACTGTTCCCAATGATGACCATCTTAGAAAGGGCATCTACTGACCAATTACTCCATAAAAGATTGTTGTACAAGGCCGTCCCACAATGGAGCATGTAAAAGATGGTAGGCTCCCCGCGAATACTCCGTTTCCCTTCCTGGGGATACGATATTCACAGGTGTAAACATGCTCACAACCTATTATTTACAGTAAGGTGAGGGAAAGGTAAGGATAGGGTTAATCATGAGACAAACTAAAGGATCAAATGGAAAAAAGCTCATTTTGTGGAACAGTTACACTCGTATATGAAATCTATACAGTTACAGAACTAGAGTCAGGAAATCATGATGTTCCGAAAGAACTCACGTTTACTTAATAAATGTGTGTCTCATGAACACAAAGTCTCATGAACACTAACAGAGGGGCTTCCTGGGTCTATGACAGCAAGGACAGGAGGGACAGTGATGTTACTTACCCCATGTATTTCCCCCATGTTCGGTAATCCACACTTCCCGTGTCACTTCCTGCAGATCTATATAACTAAGTCCTCTTCCAATGTCCCTGAGGCACAATCACCCCTCCTGAGAACCACTACTCTACGGCCAAATTCTAGCAGGGAACATAAGGGCCTTTGACCCTTGCCCACCTCTGGCCTGCCTCTCCTCTTCTTGCAGCTTCGCTTGTGTTAATAACAAACTGGCAGTGGTTTCCTGAACAGCCAGCACTGCACAGCTACCTGCAATCCTGGTTCTGTCCCACTAGCAAACTCCTGGTAGACCTTCAAAGCTCAGCTCAGACCCAGGAATCCTTCCTCCATCCCTCCAAACACCTCTCTTGTCTCAGCACCTAGTACAAGGTTCTGCCTCACTATTTCACTCCTCATTCACTTGTTTACAGGTCACATGCCCTGATGTGACCACGGGTTCCTTGAACACTGGGACTGGCTCCCATTTTTTTTGGTCTCCCCAAAGCTCCCTGCCTAGCACAGAGCAGGCACCCAGAAAGATGATCTGAACTGAGTGACAGTGTTTTAGGACCTTGCCAATATCAGGGAATGACTCTTCTCTCAACTGAGCCAAATTTTCACATAAGCAATAAGATGGCAGTTTCAGGACACACACAGGAATCAAATGATTCTAATCCCCAAGACAATATAAAACCGAAATCGGAAGGATTTGCTCATACTGGCTTTGGCCCTGTGCTTGAGAGATGCATTTCTTTATTCCACAGGTCTCAGAAATGTCAAATCCCAGCTATTTGGGGGTGTGCAAATGTGAGCAGAGAATTAATCCACAACTCACAGCCAGGTGCTATGGGTTTGACTGGGTTATAGCAAAGAGGAACGCTGCAACCCCTTTAATTACCTCCCTGGGACAGGGTAAAATCCAACCAGAAAGACGTCGCTTGAGGCACCTAGATTTTTATTTTTCAATAGCAACAGCAAATACCAAGTTAGCATAATTTCCAGACAAATAATTCTCACAAAAGTGGTTCAGACCTAACGTGTTCTGGTTCATGCCATCTGTGTAATTTTTTTCTGATGGGCACAACACAAGCCAAAATGGAGGTAACTGATTGGCTGGTTACATCGTTCAGGCACTACAAAAGTGAGCAGGCAGTAAGAGAGGAATGGCTGCCACTGCAAAGAATGCTGGTGTTCACAGGCAGAGCCTGGGGTGAGTCTGGTCAGGATTTTTATACTCCTGTCTGCTCCCCTTTAAACCACTTACCTCATTCTCACTGAGAACAGTCACACCAAGGGTGTTCAGTACTTCAATTTCAAGTTGGCTAAACAGAGGGTCATACACCCAACAGTGACTTCTGGGAATCTAGAAGGGAAGAATGAGTTGTTTACTTCAACCCAAACATCTGTGTGCACCCATGTATAAGACCAGAGGAGGAGGAGATGAAAATGAATCCAAAAATGTACCTGGCACTTTTCCAACAAAAGCAGCAAAAACGTTAGCTGGTTTCTAGCTATGATGCAGGTGGCAAAGTTCCCAATGCCGTAACACACACACTTCAAATGGCACGTTCCTGTGACCAGGGTCTCTCTTGGGATAGAATCAGGGGCCACATCTGACTCATCTGGCAATGAGTCAAGATGCAGGTTTCCAAAGATGTCAGAAAGAGACCCCACAGGGGCCTTCAGCTGTTCCAGATGTTTTGTGAGACATCTATTGATGGTTTCTGAAAGAGCAGGCCCCCAAATGCAGTTAGAGGGCATGCTCTGACCCTGTGAACCAAATCATCCGCAAAAGAAGTTCACAGATTTGGGAAGAAAGAGATCAGGGCAGTAAAAGGTTTCAATTCTTCAGAGAGAGAAGCTGCCGGTCTCATTCCCAAACATGCCTGGACATATAGTCACAGTCACCAACTGACAGGCTGTCCTGGCCCCTGGACTCCCATGGTCCAAAACCCAAGAGCATGTTGCAAGCAGAAATTGGGTTTCACTCAAGGGCAGTTTCCATCTAAAACTATAACGTGAACTCATTCTAATTTAACAAGAGGCTCCTAGTAAATGTAGACTATGCTCTGAAATGCGTACTTTTAAAGTTGTAACAGACCAGGTGCGATGGCTCATGCCTGTAATCCTACCACTTTGGGAGGCCGAGGTGGGTGGATCGCCTGACGTCAGGAATTGAAAGAGCAGCCCGGCCAACATGGTAAAACCCCGTCTCTACTAAAAATACAAAAAATTAGTCGGGCATACTGGTGCATGCCTGTAGTCCCAGCTACTTGGGAGGCTGAGTCAGAAGAATCGCTTGAACCAGGGAGGTGGAGATTGCAGTGAGCCAAGATCACACGGCTGCATTCCAGCCTGGGCAACAGAGGAAGACTCCATCTCAAAAAAAGAAAGTTATACTCTCTTTAAGTCTTCTCATGTAGAGGTAGGTTCTCTTGTCTCTCCTTTTATTGTACTGGTACTGAATTTAGCAAAACAAAAAAAAAGCCATGCATTCCAACAATAAGATACCAATTTTTCACTTAAGAAACCAGCAAAGGGTCGGGCATAGTGGCTCACACCTATAATCCCAGCAGCTTGGGAGGCCGAGGCGGGCAGATCACTTGAGATCAGGAGTTCAAGACCAGTCTGGCCAATATGGTGAAACCCCATCTCTACAAAAATATAAAAATTAGCCAGGGGTAGTGGCGCACACCTGTAGTCCCAGTTACTCAGGAGGCTGAGGCAGGAGGATTGTCTGAACCCAGGAGGTGGAGATTGCAGTGAGCTGAGATCACACTGCTGCTCTCCAGCCTGGGTGACACAGTGAGACTCTGTCTCAAAAGAAAAAAAAAAAGCAAGCAAGCAAGCAGCAAAGATATCTTTAAATAAGACCCCAGGCCAGGAAAAACTGGCTCTTCAGGTCAGTTTTGATAAAAGAATTGGTGAAAACTTTTTGGATAACCTGACAATAGATATCAAGTTGGTCACCGCCTTTCATTTAATTCCACTTCTGGGAATATAGCCTAAGAAGATCACCCTAAGTTTGGTAAAAGCTGTATGCATAAAATTGCTCATTGCAAAATTATGTATAAAACTTTTTCTGTTTTTTTTTTGAGACGGAGTCTCGCTCTGTCGCCCAGGCCAGAGTGCAGTGGCGCAATCTCGGCTTACTGCAAGCTCCCCCTCCCTGGGTTCTCACCATTCTCCTGCCTCAGCCTCCCGAGTAGCTGGGACTACAGGCGCCCACCACCACGCCCTGGCTAATTTTTTGTATTTTTAGTAGAGACGGGGTTTCACCATGTTAGCCAGGATGGTCTCGATCTCCTGACCTCGTGATCCACCCGCCTCGGCCTCCCAAAGTGCTGGGATTACAGGCGTGAGCCACCGCGCCTGGCAAAATTATGTATAATAACTTAAAAAGGCTGGTTGTGGTGGCTCATGCCTATAATCCCAGTACTTTGGGAAGCTATAGGTGGGAGGATCACTTGAGCTCAGGAGGTAGAGGCTGCAGTGAACTATGATTGCACCATTGTAGTCCAGTCTGGGTGAAGAGTAAGACCCTGTCCTGAAATAATAACTGAAAACCAAAGGAAGAAAACTCAATGTCCTGCAACAAAAATGTTATCTATGGTATGTCCACTCCATGCATGAATATTATGTGGCCACCCACACACTATGTTTAGGAAGAGATTATCACTGCATGAGGAAAAGGCTACATTGTAATATCACGGAAAAGGAATAGGATTTCAGCAATAATAATGACAATATTTATTGCCTTGTATACAGCAGGCAAGCATTTAACTAAACAGCTTCAATTCCCAAAACTACGGGATATACACATGATCCCCATTTCACAGATAAAGAAACTGAGGGTCAGAATTAAGTGCCAAAAGACACCCAGATAGAAGCGGCGGGGTGGGGGGAGTTAGAACCCAGCAAGTTATCCCTCTGTGAAGCAAAATGTTCTCAAATGAGGACAGATCCTCTTTTCTGCCCCATAATCCCTACCCTTGCCCAGGTCATACCCACCTAGTGCTGAACTCCAGAAATCAGAGATAAACAGGTCCTTCCTGTTGAGAAAAAAAAATGGCACAGTCATGTCCCATCCATTTCAGGGCTGCCCCAACAGTAACTTTCCTGATCATGACCTGAATGCATAGAGAATGAGGTGCCTTGCAATGCAGGGCCCACTCTTACCAAGTGATAAGAGGGGGATATATGTTGAATATGTCCAAAGCCAGAGCACATACTGCTGGGGCTCAGAGACTGCAGGAGAGAGGATGCTGGAGGAGGTCCTTGATTCCCAGAGAGAGGTCTGGGTTTATTCTCGCTCTACAACAGAGCCTAGTATAGAATTGCAGCTCCATAAATGGTTGTTAAATGCTCAGAATTAGCCTTTCTGAGCTTTAGTTTCCTCATGTCTAAAATGGGGATAAAAATCATTCCCAACACAGAGGAGTTTAGAGGCATAAAATGGGTTAACATTGCCGGGCGCGGTGGCTCACGCCTGTAATCCCAGCACTTTGGGAGGCCGAGGCGGGCGGATCACAAGGTCAGGAGATCGAGACCACGGTGAAACCCCGTCTCTACTAAAAATATATATATACAAAAAATTAGCCGGGCGTGGTGGCGGGCGCCTGTAGTCCCAGCTACTTAGGAGGCTGAGGCAGGAGAATGGCTTGAACCCGGGAGGCGGAGCTTGCGGTGAGCCGAGATCGCGCCACTGCACTCCAGCCTAGGTGACAGAGCAAGACTCTGTCTCAAAAAAAAAAAAAAAAAAAAATGGGTTAACATTCTTAGCACAGTGTCTGACACATAGCAGGTGCTCAACAAATGGTATTTGTTATTATAAATAGTTCTAAGGGGAAAGTAAAGAGACAAAACCAAGTGTCTGGGCTTTCTTTATTCAAGTCAACTGGTTTTACAGACCCAGAGCAAAACAAAGTCAACAGTGAATTAAAAAGAACTGGATTTGAACTGACAAGCCACAGCCAGAGACAGTGATTATGGGTTCAGAAAGGGGTACAGAGAATTGAAAGTCGGCCCTGAGGCTGCTGCACATTTCTCACAGAGGGTAAAGGAGAGAGTTCTGACGAACGCAGGAATGTTTTATGAACTGGTAAATGCGTACATAGATAAGCGCGTAAAATGCTGGCCCAATCTCAGAGCGATGGTGATTGCACCACACCTAGGTGTTGGGAGAAGCAGGGAGCTCCTGGGGAATACTGAAGCAGTTGAGGAAATCGTGACGATGTCAAGGGATATGAAAAATGCCTTGAGTTCTCCAAGCCCCCAGCCACATTCACTCTTACTGGCACCCTCTGAGAGCTTAAAAAGAATCGCAGATGCTTTTTATTCAGGCTGAGCCAAATGGTCAACAACTTTCTCTTCGGAGGTAAACTCTGGGACATTGCTGCCTCTTGACCCTAATTCTAGTGGAGAGGAGCACACAAAATTAATCTAACATCTGCCCTTGTGATGGCCCTTCAGATGCTGATCTTAAGTGCTAACTAAAGCTGTTATGTATTGAGCCTAAAAAGAACTGCAAATAAAGGTAATAATACTAAATAACATTAATAGGTAACATTTGTGGAGTGCTTCCTCTGCATTAGGCACTCTCTGTGTACTTTCTAAGGTATGGAGCAAGGTATGTGAGAATCTGAGCTGGGATAAGCAACCAGCATAATGGAGAGCTGGAAGCACTGGTTTTTGTCACAAAGACCTGGGTTTGAAATCTGGTTCCACACATTTTCTTTGTCTCTCTGAGAATCACTGAGCTACCAGGGTCCTAGCGTGCCTGCAATGTTTAACATAAAGTGTGCAGAATGATTAAGCTAGTGTCCGGCACATAGCAGTTGCCTGATGATAGCAATCACGTGTTCGTGTTGCTTCCCTTGTGTTGCCACCACCAATAATACCAACATCGGCATAATATTAATAGCAAACATTGGCACAGTGCTTATCACGTGCCAGAAAATGGTTTCCGTTTACTAATTCATTGAATCCTCAAAACAAACCTACGTATGTACTATTTTCATCCCCGTCTCACAGATGAGAAAACTGAGGCACAGAGATTACAAATTGTCCAAGGTCACGCAACTGTAACCGTAATAACAGGGAAGACAACCTTTAACTGAGCGCTTACTATAATCCAGATCTTTAATGAGCTCGTTACCTACGTTAAATCTTCACAATAACTCCTTAAAGGGTGTGGTTTATATCGCCATTCTACAGATGGGGAGACTGTGGCTCAGAATTGTCCACGGGCGCAAAGATCCCATCAGGGCCCACCCCGCACTCACTCAGCCTCCCAGATGCGACGAAGCACGACTCCGCTGTCAGACTCGAACTCCGCCTCGGGACCCCGGGGCGCCGCCTCCCTCCGCCGCAGCCTTCGAGCCGCCGAGCGCCTCTTCCGCGGAGCCGCGGCCTGCCAGGATTCCAGCGCGGTAGCTGTGGCCGCAGCCATTGGTCCCTGACGTCAGGGGCGCCCGGCTCACTCGGCACGTCATCATCGCGCGCCGGCTCGCCAGGAGCAGGAGGAGGTGGTAGGCGGGGCGGCGCATGACCTAAGGCCTCTCTGCCGCGCGCGCAGGTACGGGGCCGGAGTCGCAGGTGCCCAGCTGCCGCCCACATTTCTGTTCCAGAGTCCCGAACCCCGAGCACTGGGATGCCTGGCTACTCCGGTGGGTGGGCGGCGCTCGGAGGTGCGGGGATACAGAGGGGCGGGCCCCCAGTCTAGAGCGTGACCCGACCCCGCCTGATCCTTAGGCCTTCGCCCACAATTTCCCAGTCCCCTGGAGGTGGGGCCAGACGCCGCACAGGCCCCGTGCTGTTACCCATCGCTGCCTGCGCCCCGGGGGCTGTGCCCAGCAGCTTCCTGGCCCTTCTCCAGCCGTGAGCGTCCGTTTTCCAGCCCTGCTGCTCCACTTGAGGCCCCTTCCCCAGGTTGTTACTACCACTTCCCAGGCTACCAGAGCCTTTTATGCTTACATTCCGACGTCTGTTCCTACGCCAGGGCCATTAGTGGTCTCTTCTAGACCTTTCAGAGATAAGAGAGGACCTCGGTAGTGTAGGGCCCAGTCCTCTGCAAACAAGGGATGGGGAGTTTTAGGCTGCTGTCTTGGTTCCAGGAACAGAGATACCCCTTCCACAGGCACCCAAATATGCTCCATGGAGTACGAAGAGTATAGTCCTATGGAGGCCCAATCCAAAATATCTAGAGCTGAGAAGAGATAGAGATTTTACAGGCCGTCAAATATTCAAGACTTTAACAGACTCTATTTGTGTACCCATAGATTGCAGAATGGTGAGCAAGCATTTGAGACCATGTTGGTAGGGCATTAAGCTTGGAGAAAGTGACAGTAGGAATGAGACAGTAGTTTTGAAGTGACCAAGAGGTTGTCACATGGAAGAATTAGACCTTGTTTTGTGTTTTCCTGCGGAGTGTTATCCAGGGTAGCGAGTGGGAGGCAGATGTAAAATATGGAACGCTGATTTTAGTTTGTTGGAAGGAGAAATGTAACGTAGAGAACCACGTATTTCGGGAGGATGTAAAGCAGAGACAGCCAAGGTAATTTTTGGAGAAGAGTGCAGGAGAGTAGAGTAAATGATGCCAGGGTTCCTTCCGACTCTGAAATTCGATGATAGACTGAGCTGTCTTTCTGTCGTGGAAGTTTGAAAGCCATTTGATAAAGTTCTCTTCATTTTTTAGAAACTTACCCTGCTCTGGAATTCTGCATGTTCAGGTTACTTTTGGACTGTCAAGATGATAGTTCCTTAATTTGGGTTCCATTATTAGCACAGCAACTGGTTTATTTGTATAGCTGTCCACACCTAGAGCATTTTCACCCTATCGTTTGATTTTATCTTCTGTGAAGCTTGTGGTGTGTTTCCCTTAACTGTTCAAGAGACTAAAGCCCTTACTCTGAAGTCTCTGCAACCCTGCCTCTTTGATTTTGAAGTATCATTGTCACCCTTACAGAAAGCTCTTTTGATATATACCATTCGTTAAATCCTGCTGGGTCACATGCTCTCTCACGAGTTTCTGAAATATCTATTCCTTGTGTTTATTTCAGAGCCAAGGCACTGATGTTTGAACTGGAAACTTCAAAACTTTTAATAGAATCTTCACGATGGGTTTGAGCTAGACAAGCTAGAAATTTCTTTAGAACCCCAGCTCTAGCATGCATCTCCCACGTTTGGCTTTCCTAGAGAGGAGTTTGAAGTGGTGGTTCTGTAGACAGCCACAGTGACACTCAGGAAACCAGATGAATGAATTTGACTTTTCTGCTAGGACTCTCTTTGTTATAGTTTCTCCCTGAGTTGTAAGAGGCATCGAAATATACATGAAACTGAAGAACCTGCAAGGAAGGGAAGTGCTACTTTCCATGCTGAGTGAAAACTAACCAAGTGGCAGTGGTGACTGAAAACACTGAAACCTGCCACATCCAGATTCGCTGGATTGGGAGATAAAGGAACGGTAACAGCTGGGGAGAAAGAACTGATACTGGAAAAGAAAACCTAAATGAAGAGGATGAGGATGACTGCAAAGTAGATGGCCACCTCCACCTCCACAGAGACAAAGTCAGCCTCGTGGTGAGTAGCAGGGCCTGCCATGGCATAGCTTTCGCTGGGCTGTTGGATAGATTTTTGGGGTTAACATAACAAAATACCACTTTCCTCAGAGCAGCTGAATCAAGCACATGAGCCATTTCTCTCCGAAGCTAACGTGTTTTAACCTTGCAAGCCTCTCCCAGTGTTTGAATGAGTCTGGCGTTGCTGGGAGATTGTAGAAAAGATAAGCCACAGCCTGATCGTGCAGCCAGCTTTGATGATAATGTGGGTATTGTAGTCTTTAATTTGCAGAAATGAGGTATGGTTGCAGGTGAGAATTACACCGTGTGGAAAGGTTTGGCCAGATTGGGTATTGAAGGGTATTACTCAATGTCTGTCTGAAACCCAGTTCCCTTCTCAACCCTAAATGCGTTAATCCTTTCCCATAATTAAGTTTAGCAAACATCAGTCGTGGAGGAGATGAAGGTGAAAAGCAGGTTTAACTAGAATTAGTAGGATTTAGTGACTGATTATTTATGTGGAAGTCAAAAAAATGGTGCAGTTCAAGATGACACTCAAGTTTTCTTTTGTGTGCCCACACAAGCAGGGATGCTTTCACCCAGAGAACGTGGGGACAGGGGAGGATGGGGTGCACATGGAGTTTCTGAGTTGGCTTTGAAACTTTTTTGAGGCCTTTTGATCTGAGCTTACTCTGCAGCCAATTGTACATCCAGCCCTAGGTATTGGGAAAATGGACAGTGCCAGAGACCAAGTTGGTGCTTTATTTATTTATTTATTTTTGAGACAGAGTCTTGCTCTGTCGTCCAGGCCAGAGTGCAGTGGCGTGATCTCAGGTCACTGTAGCCTCAAACCCCAGGCTCAAGTGATCCTCCTACCTCAGCATACCAAATAACTGGGACCACAGGCTCACCCCACCATGCCTGGCTAATTTTGTCTATTTTTTGTGGAGATGGGGTTTCACCGTGTTGTCCAGGCTAATCTCGAACTCCTGAGCTCAAGCAATCCTCCTGCCTAGGCCTCTCAAAGTGCTGGGATTATAGGTGTGAGCCACTGTGCCCAGCCAAGTTGGTGCTTTTTCATCAGGAAGGCAAGGTGGGAGCCATGGAGGGAGGCCTCAGAGAGGGCATAGATCCAGGGGAGAAGAGAGCAGATGACAGATTGGTCCCATTGCTTCTTTATGTTACAGTCTCATAAATGTGTTCTCAGAAACTTAGAAATAAAACAGGTCCAGCCAGGCGCGGTGGCTCACACGTGTAATTCCAGCACTTTGAGAGGCCAAGGCAGGATTGTTTGAGTCCAGGAATTTGAGACCAGCCTGGGCAATATAGTGAGAGTCATTTCTACAAAAATTTTTTTTAAAAGTAGCTGAGCATAGTGGCACACTCCTGTAGTCCCAGCTACTTGGGAGGCTGAGGCGGTAGGATGGCTTGAGTCTGGGAGGTCGACCACTGAACCACAATCGCACCACTGCACTCCAGCTTACAGGGCTACAAAGTGAGACCCTGTAAAAACAAAACAAAATTGAGGCCCAGCCTTTGAAGTGTTTGTCTTATGGTCTTAAAGAGGTAATCAGATAATAACATTAAGTAATATAGTTATACTGCAGTGTAGTCTGTAAGAGTCTTTGAGGAAGAACAGAGGGTCATGGAAATTCAGAAGAAAGAGATTATCTTTGGGCCATGGGAATCAGGAGATGGTTAATGAGGAAGTGTGCTTGAGTGATACTTGGTGAGGTTTGGCATGGTAGAGAGGAGTTCAGAGTTTCTCTGTAAATTCACAGGCCCCGTTTTCTCCCTCTTACGGACTTACGGACTCACTATCCTGCATTGAAACTGCGTGTTTGCTCAGCAACCACCGAGGTCACTGTGGGCCCTCAGTCGGTGTTTAAGTGAATGCATGAATTCCTGGTAGAAGGGCTGTTTCTGGAAATCTTTATGCTCAGCACTTACGAGGAGTGCATCTAATACATCCCTAACTTATTTTGTTATCAGAGCCTTAAAAGACAGTGTATCAGACCATGTGGTTGTATAGTTAAGGTTCAGTGTTTCAAATAAGAGCAGTCATTGTGGGCGCCTCATTTTTTTTCTAGCTACTTATGTCTTCTCTGGCAGATGGTCTAACGGCTGGATAGAGGCATATTTTTAGTTTGAATTTCCTGCGCTTACAGAACGTTTTTATCTAATTTGTAGCTACTGGGGTTCTTTCTTCTCTGGGGCCACCTGAAGGCTTTCAAACACAGTAATGAGCCCTCCTCGGGCTGGGAAATAGGAAGCTATGTTTTAAATGCCGTGATCACTGGATGAAAGGAAACATGGCTCCATTCTGTTCTCTTGCCAGGTGGAATTATTTTTTTCTTTATGATGGTTCCAAGGTAAAGGAAGAAGGCGATCCAACAAGAGCTGGCATTTGTTATTTTTATCCTGCCCAGGTAAGCCACACAGCATTTTATTGTTCAGTGGGGATCCCAGTGCCTCCAAGTGATAACTTTTCAAAAGTATAGGGTTTACATTAGGACAGTTTGGCTAATCCAGACAATGACATTTCTACTGTCTTATTCTTAGTTGTACTATTTCTTGTTGTTCTGGTCTTAAAATTTCCAGGCAGCTCAGCACTTCCATTGTCTTTAGCTTTCTATTTCCATCATGATTTATGTCTGCCTCCCTCTACCCCCAATTTTTTGATCAGCTCAGTTTTTAAAAGTTAGTATTCAGCTGGGCACGGTGGCATATATCTGCAATCCCAGCTCTTTGAGAGGCTGAGGTGGGTGGATCACCTGAGGTCAGGAGTTCGAGACCAGCCTGGCCAGCATGGTGAAACCCTGTCTCTACTAAAAATCCAAAAATTAGCCGGGCGTGGTGGTGTGCTCCTGTAATCCCAACCACTTGGGAGGCTGAGGCACG